CCACCCCTATCCCGAGATCACTTGCCTTAGCTTTATACGGGGATATATCTCTGACCCAAGTATGTTAAACGTTTCCACGTTCATCCGTCTGGTTGAAACTCACTTGTTCCATGTGTTAAACGTCTATAAGCAATTTTAGTGACTGCAACTCTTTGTTTCTTCAGATTACTGGTATGCCACTTGGAAGAATACCAGTTGAGACACACATTTTCGAGGGAAACGAGACTGGCATCAAGGAAGTCTACTCAGTAAGACCTATGACAATAACTACATTTCTTTTTCTGACTCTCGTCATTAAAGAAACAATCATTCAAGACTTTGATTTTTAAACTTTCCACAGTAGATGATATCTAAACCTATCATTTTTCCATTGACAGATGATGCTGAAAGACCTGAAATCTGGAGGGAGAGTATACGTTGTGTATCCTGTTATTGACCAATCAGAGCAACTGCCACAGCTCCGTGCTGCCTCTGCTGAGCTCGAAATAGTAGCCAAAAAATTTCCGAAGTTCAATTGCGGACTGTTACACGGGAGGATGAAGAGTGACGACAAAGAAGAGGCTCTAAACAAATTCAGAAGTGGAGAAACACAGATACTTCTGTCCACCCAGGTGATAGAGATAGGTGTTGATGTTCCAGACGCATCAATGATGGTTGTCATGAATGCTGAAAGATTTGGAATCGCTCAGTTACACCAACTCCGAGGACGTGTTGGGCGAGGAACTAGAAAATCCAAGTGCTTATTAGTTGGGTCAACTACCAATAGCCTAAAACGGTTGAAGATGTTGGGGAAGTCATCAGATGGGTTTTACTTGGCAAACATAGACCTTCTTCTACGTGGACCTGGTGATTTGCTTGGGAAGAAACAGTCTGGACACTTGCCAGAGTTCCCAGTCGCTAGGCTAGAGATAGACGGCAATATGCTTCAGGAAGCCCACATCGCCGCTTTGGTAAACATCCATTCTCCCATCACATTACGGTGAAATGATATATTTCTACGCCTCTGGATTCATTACTTTGCCTTTGATCTTGTGTTTGCACAGAACGTTCTAGGAGATTCTCATGACCTGGAGAAGTTTCCAGCGCTGAAAGCTGAGCTAAGCATGAGACAGCCACTTTGTCTCCTGGGCGACTAAAAAAGGTTGCACAGGCCAATGTACATAGTACATACTTGGTATGTCCTTTTAGTATTTTGGTACTATGACATGTTGTAGTAGTAGTATAGTCTTTCGGTGTTCAAATTCATCAGATTAATCCTATGTGCCCATAATAGCATAGATCCAACATGCATGTTTGGTGTCATCTAAGCTTTAAGTTTTGTGTCCAACAAGAGACCCATTCATGTGTGACTTGGAATTGATGCCTTTGAATAGGACGTGAACTAATGGGATCTATAAAAGTTAAAAAAATTAGTGGTAGCTTTATGCTTCTTACTAAGTTTATAGAAGAGTTTTGTGGAGTGTGGAGTAATATAGAAAGTGGTAATAGGAACAAGGAATGGTGAGTGAGTGACCGACCCACAGGAGTTTCTTTCTTTTTTGTGTAGCAAACCAATGAGGAGAGATTGATTTACGGTGGGAGGGAGGGACAAAGAGACAAGTGGTGGCCCACTAAATGTTTCCTACCCAATCATCAAACAGTGGGGCCCACTAACCTCCTTGTCTCCTCCTTTGTCCTTTCTCTTCCATATTGAAACTTGTAGTGTTGGCAACTTGTTTCGCATCTCATTGACACTGCTTGTGCCTGAATCATTTCTTCTGCGTCTTCTTTGTATGCGTCTTAACACTCAATCCATTGTAGCTTCTATTCTAGATCTTGATTGTATCGAGTTTATCAGCGATCAAACATATTTTTGTATAATCAAGAGATCATGTTTGAGATTGAACCATACACAAAACATTCACATGTTTTTGGTGTCCTTTTATTTATTATAGGTATAATAATTGGTGCTGGTCGGCAAATATTTTGATGATGACTAATAGGATTTTACATTTTGGATATATACATACGTTTATGATAAAACTAGCATGGGAGGTGGGTTGATAAAGACAATCATGAAAAGGCAATTCTCATGTTTAATTTGAACACTACAAGACCAAAAGTTATCACACATAACTATGCCGGCTTTTAATCCTTGTTTTGTTAACAAGAATCCCTTATATATATATCTGAATGTGTTTGTGTAACCTTTATAACTGTGCTAAATTGTTCGAATTGAAAATTGAAACCTTATTGAGTAGCAAAAGCAGATGATATAGGTAAGAAGGGTTTGGATCCAAAGAGCAGAATGAAAATGATTAAGAGACAAGACAGAAACTTTTTGACTTTAGAAGATAGTGATGTCGGAAGTTAAATCTGTGTACGTCCCAAGACGAATGATTTGCTCATCGGAAGCTACAAAAGTTGTTTGTACAAATTGGGGATCATCCTTCCATGACAGTAATAATTGAAGCTATAGATAAAATCCACACAACAAATGAATTCTTTCAACCGTTGAGACTTGAAAGAGAGTGGTCACTATGACACTGTTACACTTACTACTAAATTATCAATATTCTAACCATTGCTCTTTAAGCCCTTAACCATAAATTTTGGAAGAACATTATTTTGATGAATCATATATTTTTACAGATATATATTCGGATGTTCCAATAAAAGAAGTAGACAATGATTGTAGTTATGTTCGATCGACGACACAAAGAATATGGGCTTGATTGGTTCTGCTTGTAGCTTTAGATTTTTTTCTGTAGATTTTATGATGTAGATGTTTTGGCTGTGACTATAGATTTTAGTGATGTAGTATTTTTGCTGTAAAATTTTAAATTTTGGAAAGTTGAAAATTATATGCTTTAAAAAATAAGACTATCTACAGAAAAAAAAAATTATAGAAATATTTTGGCTGTGAGAAAAAAAAAAAAAAAAAGTCAAATCTTATAAATCTTAATTCAATCTATTTCAAAGTTTTAGAAAAATTTTTGCTTTGTAAAAACTTTAAAGCAATTGCCACTATGGTACGGTGACTAGCAGTAGTAGCAGCTACACAAATCTGGCTGATATATAACAACTGTCTTAAACATTTTCTTTCTTTAACCATCATCATGCACCAGCAAATATAATCAGTCTTTACCAAAAAAAAAAAAAAAAAAGATAATCAGGACTAATTTATTTTGGAAATATACACTAGATAACCCTACATTTATTGTACTAAAACAAATTGATAAATGACCTTGACCTTCAGTTTTGTTGATTACTATTTGACCAACGTAATTTCACAAAGTGCATACAAATATTTTCATCAATCCACACGAAAATCACTTACCCCCTTATCTACTATTTTGCCACCATGGTAAACCGTAAACTACTTAATATGTGAACAAAGCAAAAAAAACAAAAACAAAAAAAGTAAACTACTTAATACTATATGCTTTAAGTATGAAAAACTATATTATTGGGTCGTCCCATGCACCATTACCTCTGAATAATAAGTTTTCTTTTTCTGTAATTAAGTGTGGTCAGTATGAGTGTACAATGAAACATTATTCTCATGCGTTTCACGAGCTAGCAGGAGAATATATTGGACTCATGGTGTTTCTCAAAGCAGAAAAGAGAAAATGATTACTATTTTTCTTTTGTCAACTTTTACAAATTTCTTTTTTATAGAATATGAAATATGAATGAGCAAATACTACTCCCTCTGTTTCATAATATAAGTCGTTTTAGCTTTAAACACGCAGATTAAAAAGATATATTTTTAAAAAGTTCAACCAATCATAAAAGAGACTGCATAATATAAATAATTATAAAATATTAAAGTAATATATAAAGTGTATAGAAACTTGAAAACGACTTATATTATGAAACAAAATTTTTTCTCCAAAACGACTTATATTATGAAACGGATGGAGTATATGATTGTCATAATCACGAAATTTGGATATACTAATCTAATCGTGGACACAACCAAATAATTAAGCAGTCAGTTAAAGGAACGTGTGTGATCTAATAATCCAGTGCTTATTATATACAAATTAAAAATATATGACTCATGCAAATGAAATGACCAAGAATGCACCACAAAAGGTCTAAAGACCGGTCAAGTATGTTATCTTATAATTATATTAATAAAACGAACAATACACGTAGTATTGTTAAATTTCACATACACTTATTTGTCAACAAATTTATAATGTGTGTGGTTCAATTGTAGGAACAAAAACATACATACAAAAAAAAAGAAAACTTTTTTTATTAAACTATTTTAGTCAAAATAGTTATAGAGTAAATAAAGAAACGTTACAAAAATTGACTTTAAAATCATAGATGGAACGTTAGATGTTTCCATGGTTAGCCGGTGGACATTGACCCAGAGTTAATATAAGCTATTACTGAATCTGGAAACAAATTCATATGATGTCTTAAATGCGTCTACTTTAAACCGAACAAAAATTCAACAAACCCAAGTTAATGTAAGCAATTAGGATTATTGAATATGCGTTTCTATCTCAATAATTTTCACCAGTTATATAGTATTATTTCTCACTCTCCCATTAATAACAAGCACGATCATCTATATAACCTATATGCTTGTACAAAAAGTGAAACAAAAAAAACGTAAAATAAATAATAAATTAGTGGGAGATAATGGAATGTGGAGGCGTATAGAGTAAGAAGAGTTCTTCAGGGGTCTCAATATTTGGACCGACTCAGGTTCCTACGGAAAAAGGAGAGAATCGATCATAAAAACTAAAATTAAAAACAAATAAAAAGTAATAAATGGCAAATTAATTAAAAAAAGAAATCAATAAAACAAAGAGAAAACCTGCTGGTTAGTTTCCCACACGGAGTCAGCATTTACTCCACCATTGATTTACTGATTGACACGTGGTACTTATCCGACGACTCTTCTCATAATTCCTCCTTTGACCGGCGGACTTCAGTCAACGGCCCCCGCTCCTTCTATTTATTACTACTATATTGTATATTCAATAGTACTGACTCAAAAATTTTAGATTTTTGATTTAAAAACAATTTTTCATACTATCTAAAAAAAACTTGTTAAAATAATTTTATAGGTTGATGATACCAAACGCATCTTAATATTTTCTCCTTAATTACTTTGTTTTTATGATAAAATTAAACTACTATTTACGTACATATGACGACAATGATATACGTACGTATATACATATAGCACTATATGCTCGATCTATGGATTACGCATGCGTGTGTATGTATAAATGTAAAGGCATCGTCACGCTTCAAGTTTGTCTCTTTTATACTATTAAACTGAGAGTTTTCCTCTCAAACTTTACCCTTTTCTTCTTCGATCCTCTTAAGAACCCTAAAATTAATTGATCAATATAATGGCGATTTTACCCGAAAACTCTTCAAACTTGGATCTTACTATCTCCGTTCCAGGCTTCTCTTCCTCCCCTCCCTCCGGTAAGCTTTACACACATATTTACACTAGAATATATATTATTTATATAATCAAAATAAACAACTATATGCACAAGTATATATTTATGAGGCTTGTGTTTGTATTCTATGTTTCTTTTGTTTGATTATCAGATTATCTGTTTTCTTATTTTACATGGAAAAACCATATCAGTTTTTTCAAAATCTTAAAACTGATATCGACAACAATAAAAAAAAAAGATATTCAGTTTTTTCATCGTCTTATTTTCTCTTTGATCACAAATTTTCGTTTTGTCGTTGTTAATATAATTTATATACGCAATAAGTTTCAGATGAAGGAAGTGGCGGAGGAAGAGACCAGCTAAAGCTAGACATGAATCGATTGCCGTCGTCTGAAGACGGAGACGATGAAGAATTCAGTCACGATGGCTCTGCTCCTCCGCGAAAGAAACTTCGTCTAACCAGAGAACAGTCACGTCTTCTTGAAGATAGTTTCAGACAGAATCATACCCTTAATCCCGTAATTTATTATTCACAATAAAACATAATTACTTCTGTTTTTATATCTTTATTTATATTTTTAGAACAAAAAGAATTGTATTGAATGTTTCTCTATTTTATTTTATTTTGTAAAATGTAGAAACAAAAGGAAGCACTTGCCAAGCATTTGATGCTACGGCCAAGACAAATTGAAGTTTGGTTTCAAAACCGTAGAGCAAGGTACGATTTTATTTTCCTTTTTTTTTCTAAACCAACTTTTGTTTTTTACATCACTGGTGAATAAATATCTGAGTATAAATAAGGTTAAAATAATAAGCGGGTGGTTGATGATTAACGAGAGAGTTCACAAATATAAGCGTTAAACGTTGACGGAATATAAAAATAAAGCAGAAAAAATGAAATCTGAATCGGATTCGACCCACCCCGTTAACATATATAAGTCGTACCCTTAAATAATATAAAGTTAATCTTGTCCTTTTCATAAATTATTTCTCATTAATTCCTCCATCAAATATTTATTTTATAATGTTTTCCTTCTAGGTCCTTCTTAAATTCTTGAAGAGTCACCACTTGTTTAGTTGTTGTTACACATATAGAAGGAAAATGTCAATTCCTATTTTTGAAGTCAAAGGAATTACGGAAATAGATTAACAGCCACTCAATTAATCACACATAATAATAAAAAGTAATATATTAATTAATGTTGAAGTAGTTTTATATATCAACATCACGTACATATGTGTTGTTGCATGGTTACTTTCACAAGTGACAACAGCATTCGGAGCCGCCAATTGTGATATCCATTACACGTTTAATGTGTGATGTAACTTGGAGCCAGTTTTACAAAACACTTTGGCCCCTGTACGTCAATACGATACGTGTATACATTAATTCATATACCTAAATATTCACGTGTCAATGACTCGATGTTTCATGAACTCATCAGTCGTTTATTACAATTTCCTGGTAACGATAGGTATATATATGTCTTTAGTTTCTGCATGAATATATTTTGTTCATGTCTATAACATATATTATTAATTCAATCTAGATAATCCGTTAGTGATCATTGTTAATTTGTTATTCAAACCGAAAAAGCAAAGCTAAATTGGTTAGAATGTCTTGTCTTTTATAGACTCAATATATAAAGAGTTAATTTATTTGGATCCCACAATAATTGTGAACAGATGGGAAAGGTACATATGGTGCAATAAATAAGAAGAGTTTCAACATTGGTCGTATTACTATTAATATTATGACGGTTTCCCGAATTATAAGTTATAATAACTATAATCATAACCACACCCTTTTTAATAAATATATTTTATAGCCTCTTTTTATCTCAATTATTTATATGTTTTAGATTTATTAAATTTTATAAATTTCAAGTAAATCAATCAATGTGTTTTCTTTTTTTCTGCCTTGTGTACTTACTTTCTCATCAATGCCCTTTGACTCATAATTCATTCGGCAGTTCCTGCGTTTTCATTTCCATGATTTTTTAAATATATTTTTATGTATATGCATCGTCGACGAGCATTTGATCCTTGCTTGCATGTTATAAACTAACAAGTTGTGAAAAAACATCTATGAGTTTAATGTGTTTATATGTCAAAAATAAATAAATCGCATCGTACCGATTTTGGATTTGTTTGGTTTAGGAGCAAATTGAAGCAAACCGAGATGGAATGCGAGTACCTCAAAAGGTGGTTTGGTTCATTAACGGAGCAAAACCACAGGCTCCATAGAGAAGTAGAAGAGCTTAGAGCCATGAAGGTTGGCCCAACAACAGTGAACTCTGCCTCGAGCCTCACTATGTGTCCCCGCTGCGAGCGAGTTACCACTGCAGCGAGCCCTTCGAGGGCGGTGGTGCCGGTTCCGGCCAAGAAAACGTTTCCGCCGCAAGAGCGTGATCATTGATTTATGTATCTTAGACACTGGACTGGAGTATGGTTTAGAAGTCAACGAAAGTCAACCCTTGGGCTCAGAAAAAATTGACGATCACATGATTTCGTGTAAATATTTTAGTACTAAGAGACTGAGACTCTGTTCCTTCAACAACTTTTTGTAAATACTATTATTAATTTTTATAACCAGAAATCCAATATCCTTAATTTTGTTTGAAACAAAATAAGATGTACAAAAAATTAAATCTCAAATTATTATCACAAAATCCTACTAGCTAAAGGCCAATTGTTGAGTTTTAGTACTCCAACTAGCAATTGTTGGGTTTCGACGGTAGAAAGCCCACGAAATAATGATTCTACCCTAACTCCAACGACTCGTACCAAATCCAGTCACAGCTGTTATGTCATTATTTATAGAAACCCTCTATATAAATGCAGAAATATTGTGTCAGCTGTTATGTCATTTTTAGAAAACAAATCTGTGGATTTGCATCTTCCTCGCTCGACCGGTTACTGGGTTTAACAAAAACTAAAGAGGCCCACTTATGTTTTTAGCAGGCCGTTATGATAAAATGCCCCATTTCTGATTTCTATCTAATAGTTGCATTATAGGCTTATAGCTGTGATCATAGTTTGGGCCAGGTGTTATGTTAGAGGCCTGCAATCATTATTGGTCGTCCGATAATGGCGCAAAACGGCAAGCAACGTATGTACTTGGAGCTTGATTGGTTCTCCTGCTAGCACCCTCCTAGCGGTTGCTAGCGGTCGTTTGCGGTTGTTAGCGGTTGGTACCAATCATAGAAACCGCTCTGTACCGCTACAAACCGCTCGAAATCGCTGAATTTCAAAAGCTCCTTCCCGCAAGCGTTTGCGGTTGCGGGCGATAGCGGTTGGGTTTAGAAAAAAAAAAATCAAACATTTACTTATAATTATTATAAAATATATTAATCCTATATATATCTTTCATCTTTGTATCACGTTCTCATCGGAAACCCTAATCGATATTCTAAAACCTTATTTTCTCAATGTCTTCCACCCAAACCGATGAAAATCAAGAACCAAACGTAAGTATCATAAATCCTTTTATTCATTCATCACCTCATGTGTAACTATTTGAATATTTTTCATTGTATCGTTTTTCTTCTTTTCATTATGTATTGCTTTGCTTTTTGATTTAATATATGTTTCGATTTGTTTTCTCGAATAGAAAATCACTTGCTTTTTGATTGAATTCAACGTTATTTACAGTTTGTCTCATTACTTGATGCAATGTTTGGTGTTAAACCAGCATAAAGTACTATCTTATTACAAAATTTCTTTATTTTTGAATAATTATTTAGTATTTTATTTACGTTTTTAATTATTAAGTATGTTCAATTTTTCTAATATTATCATAATAATATATTGGTGTTTTTATGTCTTTTTTTGTAATATATATTTTTTTTTGGTCATTTTTTATTTAAATGCTACCGCACCCGCTGGTTTACCAGTCATAAAATTCCCGCAAACGCATCCATTTTCAAACGCTAAACCAGTCTTTCAAAACGCTTGGTAACGCTTGAAACCGCAACCGCCCGCTTCCGCAAACTCCCGCAACCGCAACCGCAACCACTACGTTTAAACCAGTCAGGCCCTTAATAAGTTTTAGCAGTCTTAACTAGACAAGTAACTATCGCACGCTTGCATAAAGACTAAAGTAGACTCAATCGTTGTGTTTAATAAAGTAACATCTGTACTCAGACAATACGCTCTGCGGGAGACAATACGTCACTCTGTACGTGAAGCTAATGAGGTTTGTTGTTTGAAATTGATCTGGCGTATTGTCTCCCGCAGCAGCTCTTTATGGGTTAAGTGGACAGAAACAAACCTTCTACGACAAAATTCTTTTTGGTCAGTGAAAGAGAGCTCTGTTTTGGGGTCTTGGATTTGGCAAAAACTGCTCAAGTACAGAGCGACGGCACAAACATTCTGTAAGGTGGATGTTAGAAATGGAGAAGCCACCTCTTTTTGGTATGACAATTGGTCGGAGTTAGGGACACTACAAGAAAACACGGTATTAGCGACTTAATTCGGCGACTGAATATGTAGTCGTTAAATTTGGCGACTAATTAGGGACGTATTAGCGACTAAGTAGTCTATATTAAACATTAGTCGCTAATCAGTCTTTAATGTGAGACTGATTAACGTAGTCGCTAATAGGTCGCCAGTTACAGCTACTATTTAGCGACTCATTTATTTTATTTGGGCAATTAATTGGGATTTTACGGGCTTGATCCAGTAATTTTAGCCCATTAAGCTCGGAGTATATAAACTCGGAGTCGCGAAACCCTAACCCTAATCCCCTTTTCTTCTCTCTCGACGAACCCGACGAACCCTAACCCAATTCCCCTTTCCTTCTCTCTCGATTCGATCCTAATTCTTCATCAATCCTCTCAATCTCTCCATTGAACGCTTGAATGATGAAGACTCGTGGTGGAAAAGGCAAGAGAGGAAGGGGATCGAAGATTCCCCCCCAAAATCGACCCACTTCTTCCCAGCCTGTACGAGTTGAATCGAAGACCTTGAATCGAAGACCTAGGGGTCTTCCCAGCCATTACGAGTTCACGCCGGCGAATCGTCAAGCCCCACTTCAAGATTCTGAACAAGAGCCGATTGCACAACCTCCAACGGGTCCAACCATCAGGGACTATCCTCCTCCGACGCAACTTTTCCAGTCAGGTGAAGGATCTCCTCGCGGATCTGGCTCGACTCCATTTCGAGCATCCGGATCGACTCAACCTAGATCTGGAGGATCTGTTCATCGTCTAGCCTCCAATCAGTCTCCAGCGCCGGTTCAACGGGAAGCTTACAATCAGTCTCCAGCGCCGGTTCAACGGGAAGCCTCCAATCAGTCTCCAGCGTCGGTTCAACCGGAAGCCTCCAATCCTCCACCTCGGCAGGCGTCAAATCCTCCACCTCGAGCCTCTGTATCACATCACAGCTCTCAAGCTCAAAACTCACATGCGGAAGAAGATGAAGATGAGGAAGCTGAGGCTAATTATGAAAGGGAATCAACTCTTCCTGAAGATTCGCTTGCTACTCTCCATGAGTTGCTTCTTCAGCCAGGACGTGAGAAGTTTACAACGGTCATCTCTCCCACATTTGAGCCTGGAACCTATTGGTAAGCTGAGTAGATTAGGTTTAGGGTTAATATTGAGTAATGTGTGTGTGTATCTGCTAAGTAGATTAGGTGTGTATATGGTAAGCTGAGTATATTAGGTTTAGGGTTAATATTGAGTAATATGTGTGTGTATGGTAAGTTGAGTAGATTAGGATTATGTGTGTATAAAGCTTGCTAATTGGTTTATGTAATTGTAGGTTTGGTCACGACAATGGTAAGCTGACCCGGAAGATCACAAAGGTATTCACAAACAAGTTTAATGGGCCATATTACAATTGGAGCTGTGTACCTACTGAAAGAAGACACAAATACTTCCTCGAATTCGCGGTAAATTAACTTCTATTGTCTGTATCCATTTGGTTTGGTTTGGTTGTTTGATCACTAACATCAAACTCTCCTCTTGTTTTGTAGAAAACACACACATGGCATCCATCACTGACCGGTGTAATTGAAGAGAAATTCTACAAAATATGTCAGCTGCGTATGAAGGACATGGTTTCTAAGGCTTGCTCAAAACGAGCCACTGAGAGACCGCCATGGATTGAGAAGACATTGTGGAAGGAAATGTGTGAGTATTGGGACACAGAAGAAGCACTTGCCAAGAGTTCAACCACATCAGCAGCTCGAATGTCTGACCGTAATGGTCTTGGTCCTCACAAGCATGTATCGGGGCCAAAGTCTTTCTTACAAATCGAGCAAGAGATGGTAAGTTACATCAAGCACTCTTGTTTATTTACATAATGGTTTTCCTTAAGAATTTGAATTTTTTTGTGAACAACATTTCAGGAAATTGAGCTGGGAAGACCACCTACTTTTGGTGAGATATTCATTAGGACTCATACCAAAAAAGATGGGAGTTTTGTTGATAGGAAGGCGCAGGAAATTCATGAGGCATATTTGAAGAACAAGGAAGCTAAGTTGGCTGCCCTTGTGAATGATGAAGGGTCTGATGGTACATCCCGTCGATCAGAACTATCTCAAGAGGAGGATGATGAGATCTTCCTTCTGGTAATGTGGTTGATCCTCTTTTTTTTTATTATTATCACTTACTTCATCTTTTAAGAACTAATCCTCTTGTCTTTTTTTTGCAGTCAACTGTCACAAACGAGAGAGGGGTATACTTCGGAATGGGAAGCTTAGGGAGGTACATCAATGGGAAGCGGAAGTACCCAGGAAGCAGTTCTGCTTTCACTTCCTTGCAGTCACAGCTTGAGGAAGCCAACCGCAAGATAGAAGAACAAGCGACTCTCCAAGCACATCGGGAGGCAGAGGCATTGCGGGTGAAAGCTGAGCAAGCAGAGATCAAGCGTGTTGCTAATGAGCAACAAGCAGAGATCAAACACTTGAGGATGGTGAAGAAGTACTTGACCAAAACTGACCCCAAGTTTTTCGCCTTTCTCGAGTCTGCTTCAGAAGATCAAACAGAAGAGTTCCAGACTGCTAATGCTTCACAAGATCAAGCCTAGGAGTGAACATCTCATCTCCCCTTCCTTTAGTTGCTTTTCTTGTCTAAACTTAAAAACTTGATATTATGTAGCTTGAATATTATGTTGTGAACATGTTTGAATTATGTTGTGTGTTTGAATCAAGGTTCTTTGTTTGTTAAATATAGTTTTTTTAAATTTAGGATTCCATAAATTAGAATGTAAAATTGATAATTAAACCTGTAATCAGTCGTCAATTAGTTGCATTTCAGTCACCAATACTTAAACTAAACAGACGCCATATGGTGGCAAAACAGTCGCTATATCAGTCACCAAATAGTCGCCAAAGAGTCACTATGTAGTGGCAATAATGTCTCCAAACAGTCGCTAATTTGGCGACTGTTAGGCGACTAAATAACGGCACATAATTTAGTAGTTATTCAGTCGCTAAATGGCGACTGTTTGGCGACTCATAAATTTAGCGACGCAAGGTTTACCGACTACGTGTTTTAGTCGCCAAACTGTCGTCTTAATAGGTTTAGCGACTACTACGCTACTTAATGTGTGGTCGCTAATTACATGTTTTCTTGTAGTGGGAGACTAATGGAGGTGACAAGAGATAG